TCATGTGGAAAATGGGCCAAATCCATTTTATCTAACTCACAACACCCTCTTCACTCACAACTCTCCCCTTGCATCTCATCAGGTAAAACCAGAAGCCTATATAGAAAACTATATGCTCGCACCAGCAAGCAAGTACAAAAACCCAACCATACCCTACTTAGCTCGTGTTCTGTGCGATAAAGAAAGCATTAGGCGTGACACCTATAATTCACTAAATAGTCAGTAGAAAAATTGGACCTCGTCTTTCCAACTCATATCATTTATAGGTACAACATTTTCTTTCTTTCTTTTCCTTTTCTCCCTCTCTTTTTCCATTATGTGCTGCTTTGTCTATTTCTTCCACTTACGCCAGTAAATATGATAGTATCTACTTTACTATCACCTTCAAACTCTCTGTTCAACTTTGGCTTTGCTACCGACATGCCAATATGTTGTTGTCATAATGAACTGAGATTTCCTTAATCTATGTAGAATTCTATTTGTTGATAATGTACTAACTGGATGCAATACTGTAGTAAAAATGCTGAGAATTCCATTCTGTATCACAAGTACTGTTTTGGAATAAAGCAAATTATTATTATTATTTTAAAGATGAAAACATTGCAGCAGTTGTCAACAGAAGATTGAGTACGTCACCAGACAGAGCCTATCCTGCAGCTAAGTTGGTTCCCGTCCATTGAACAACATGCTCTTTGGTGCAGTCAAAAGTCTACAGATACCCTTCTTGTGTTAACTCCAACTGTGTATACAAATTTACGTGTACCTGCGGGAGCAGTTACATTGGGAGAACAGAAAGAAGAAGGGAACACCTCCGATTTTCTGAACATGTTCCGAAAAGCCTACGTATCAAGGGAACAAACTCTTATATTAGCGCTATTACCAGACATCTCCTCGATACGGGTCATGAGGTGGAAATCGCGAAATCCTTTAAAGTTATCAATAGACAAAAGAGCTCGATTCTTCTCAAGTTTGCCGAAGCAATTTTTATCAAACGCTTGAAAACCGATTTATATGTTCAGAAAGGAGTAGTTGTCAGTATTTCCTTCCCCCATCCTGATAACTGGATGTCTTTATTCTCTCTTTCATTTCATTACGTAATCTTTGGCTTCACCCTCACCCCCCCTTTGATATTGTGTAATTTTACTTGTTTCTTGTTTCTTTGATTTGAGTTGAATTCAGTACATTGTTACCCAATTTATCAGTCACTCATCATCTTACACATCTCTCGTAATTATTACGTAACTCCTTTACCATTCTATGCACACATTTACTTTGTTTAAACTTGGACTCCCTGTGTAAAAACTATTTAAGTGCAATTTTCTGAGCGCTGTTAACTAAGTGCCGAAACTTTCGTCGACTGATATCACGCAAAATTTGCAAGAATGGTAAAACTTTTCTGTACATAAACTTACTTATAATTTATTTAGGCTGTAAGCAGATGATGAGGAGCCAACGGAATAAACAGTGATGGTACCATATTATTCTGCACAAGCAAACTGTTGTTCTTGCTTTATTCAAATTCATAAAGGGGAAAAAGTGTATGAAGTTTCTTAGAAAATGTTCCATCTAACCTACTAATTTAAGAAGTAAAGGTAATCAAAAGTCAATCCACCTCTACTTTTACAATTTGTTAACTCTTGTATCTTACCCAGTGTTCATTATTGTTATCCCTTAGTCTTTGCTGGGCTACTCAAAAAGGACTATGTGTCATATTGCGAAGGGTATTAAAGGTTGTCAGTAGGGCAAATGAGGTGCCACATAGTCAGTTGACTACTGTTATAGTCGATAGACGCCTGAAATCATATGAAAAATGGTCTAAATCCATATTTTCTGATTCTCAAGACCTAACTCTCCCTTTGCATTTCATCAGGCAGGAATGGAAGTCATTACAGAAAGAGTATTTGCTCACACAACCAAGTACTAAAGCTCAACGGTACCGTATTTGGCCCGTGTCTTATGTGACAGAGATAATGTTAAGCGCGAAACCTACGATTTACTAAGTAATTGGCGAAATAAACTGGTCTTCAACCTTCTCCTGTTTGTAATTTATTGTGACACTATTTCAGTTATCCTATAATTTTAGTCGTTAACATTATTATTACTATTATTACAATTATAATTTTACAGCTACCGAATATTTCCGACTTGATTGTTACTCCTAATGGTAAAAACTTGCTATTATAAGTTTAGGTTACCTATACCCTGTAATATATTTCTTATTGCTTCTGTTGTTGTTGAGTAAATTAAATGCCATAATATTGCACCGAATGCTGAAAATTCCACCCTGTATCATGAGTACTGTTTGGGAATATGGCAAATAATGATTATAAATTGTGCAATTAGTCATAAATAGTAGTAATGATAATAATAATAGTAATAATAAAAATGTTCTTATCAATAATAAGGATGAAAAAGTGAGCCAATCTGTGATAACACGAATAATGAAAAAACAGTATAATTAAACAAACAACTGTTCAGGTGGAAGTAGTCGATAAAGGCTAGTAAAAACAAATGAACCGATTAAGTAATGTTAGATTGTAAGGGAAGGAAATGAAACACGTTTATAATGAAGATAAGATTAAGGGATGATAAGAAAGGGGTTGAAAATATAAACAAGGGGTGGTGTAGAAGTCATTAGTTGGTTATGTCTTAATAGGCCAACAAGAGAGGGATAATGGCTGTACGAAGTTTTTTGAATACATAGTTTAGGTTTAATAGTTCGAATGCCTATCGCCTCAGCTGTGTGCAGTAAACGAATACGAAGTCTATTGGAAAGATTCGGTGGGATACGATGAATTACTTTGAAGGCTCTCGTTTTCTCGATTACATGATCACTATCAATTAATTGTGACAAAATTGAGCTACGAATTGTTTTTGTCTGTCCTTTGCCAAACCACGATGCTAAGTAGGAGAGAAGATGGGTCACTTGGGAGAAGCGTGTACAGAAAAAGTACATTCACAGGGCAATACAGACCCTTCCTTAGTTACATGCCCATTAAATATAAAAGGAATGTTGTAAAATGTCTTGCGAGCAGAGCAAGAAAGATATGTACCGATGACCTCTTACAAAAAGAATTTGAATATATTCACGATTCCTTGACGGAGATGGGCTATCTGAGTAGTTTCATAAAGAAACATATGAAAACATCGGGGAAAAAAAACCAGAGACTCTGACTGCACGTAAGAAACCTCTATTTATTAAGTTACAATTTGATGGTGACTTATCAAGTGAGATTCTATTCCAAAGACTTTCAAGGAGTATACGAAGAACATTTTATGCAGCACACCTATGTTTGTCATTCTCTAGCCGACGAATAATTGGGACGCAAACGAAGGATAAGCTTGATAGTTTTGCCAGACATCTATGTGCATTTATCAATTCAACTGCACCTGCGGTGAGTTATATTGGGCGTACTACTAGGCAGCTTACCAAACATAACCCATCGTGGTTTGTCAAAGGACAGACAAAAACAATCCGTAGCTCAATTTTGTCACACTTAATTGATAGTGGTCATGTAATCGAGAAAACGAGAGCCTTCAAAGTAATTCATCGTATCCCACCGAATCTTTCCAGTAGACTTCGTATTCGTTTACTGCACACAGCTGAGGCGATAGGCATTCGAACTATTAAACCTAAAATAATGATTAATAAAGGTCTCAGAGTTGTATGATATATCACGTATCGGCAGAAGTTGGAATTCATGGGTCGGATCCCAGTGAATGAATGGTCTACGAGCTCGCCTTGTAACCAGAAGGTCTTCGCTTCTAACCCCTCTGAGTGCATATCATTGAAGAGTTTCAAACTAGAACGAAACAGATGTCCAGTATTCCTGTCAGGTTTCCAATGCTTCTCTAACTAATATCAACTCTTGTAACCAATGAAATCTATGCAAACTAACACTTAAAAACGAAATATTTAAGATATAGAATTACAAGTGGGTTGAGATAGCAAAGGTCGATGGAGGGATAAATATAGAGATGATAGGGGAACATATCCTGTGAAGGACTTGTTCAGCAACAGGGATCTCTGGGAGCGAACCAACCAACCAGGAACCGATTGCGCAACAAATAAGCAGGAAGAAATGGAGGTGGATTGGCCATACTCTGAGGAAACCATCGAGTGACATCACTAGACAAGCCATTGCTCGAGTGGAACCCGAACGGGAAGCGGCGAGTTGGTCGTCAGTGCAAGGGTGACTTGGAGGAGGTCATGTGAAGAGGAGATGAAAGCATGTGAGCAGAGGTGGAGCCAGGTGAAAACTTTAGCAGAGAACCAAACTCAATGGAGACGTGCAGCTGAAGCCCTATGTCCCTCTAGGAATTAAAGGAAACAATAATAATAATAATAATAGGGAAGTTATTTGTATGCGTTAGTGCATAGGATTCTTCTGCATTTCAGCCCATTCTACTTTGAAAGTTTATGAGGATTAATTTTTCATGACTGTAAACTCAAAGACTACGTGTTCTTGAAGATAGCCTCACATATAATCTCTGTTTAATGATATCAGACATAAGGTAAGTCAAAGCGTAGACGTTTAAGGATCTGCTTTATACACATGAGACAGTGTAATATTTAACTTGCTAGTCTATTGATTGGAGGATTTGCCTGACGTCCTATCCCTTTTATCACTCCTGACCTTGTTATGATGCTCCCCTTAGACTCTTCAAATATTGTAAAATTTTTATTTTATAATGGCGATACATTTTTTAACTTCATCGTTAATAATCTGATCCTCTTGAGTGAGGGTTGTACTCATCAAGGTAATTGTCCCAAGTAAATGAGTTGAGCTAAAGGGAAATTCTGATTTCACCAGGAATTTCTGATAAAGCTCTATACAGTAAAAAAGCTCCTTCTGATCCCATGGAAGATTCACATCGAAGGAAAGAAGGTAATTGTATGCGCCAACTGTGATAGGATAAATCAACCTCCACCAACTGCTTGATAAGAATACCCTTGAATTTGAATTCTCTTTTAACTAATTTTATTTTTTATTTCACAGAGAACGCCTATGCATGAACCAGATGAATCTGTTGAACCCAATGAATCTATGTATACAAGTGGTGGAGCTACTATCCTTGCTGTTGCTCTATTCTGGACAATAATTACTTTGACATCATGGATAATAAAGAATTTATTAATTCGGGTAATTTATTGATTTTCGGTGAACTGTTTTCTTATATGTATATATGTATATATATAATAGTTTCCTTTAGTTCCTAGAGGAACATAGGGCTTCAGCCGCACGTATCCATTGCTTTCGGTTCTCTGCCAACGTTTCCACCTGGCTCCACGTCTGCCCACACGCTTTCATCTCCTCTTCGCATTGTGGTGAGAGCTGTCTACTAGCCAAATTGGTAGACAGTAATTGACGTCAATTTTTACGTTCTCAAGATTGGTCGTGAGAAAATATGAACAAGACTGATTCAAAAACCAACCACAGCAGACTTTGCGTAGGCGGATACAGTTAATATATAGATGATCTGACATTCAAGAAGCAGTCACAAAGAGATGAAAGATTAACTTTAAATGAGAAACAACCAATCAGAAGACTGTGTTTGTTTGCTTAACTATTCTATAATAATGTACATGAAAATATATAAATATGCTTTGATTTCCTTAATAAAGGATCTGTTGCCTGGCCCTTATCGTCTGTTGTTACAGCATCACCTCCTCCACTCCACGTCATCCTCACACTGACGACCAACTGACTCGCCACTTTTCATCCGAGTGCCACTCGAGAGAGAGCCTGGCATGTGATGTACCTCATTTGATGGTTTGTTTTCTGAGAGTATGGCCACCAATCCACCTCCATTCCTTCCTGTATATTTGTTGCACACAATTAGTTCCCGCTGGGTTGGTTCGTTCATTGCCAGAGATCCCTGTTGCTGAATTTTTCTGGCCGGCCATCTGATCTTGAGTAGTATTGAGCGAAGGCAGCTGTTGATGGAGGTGTGTAGTTTGTTCGAAATGCCATTCTTGACGCGCCAATTCTCTGATCAGTATAGTAGCACTGATTTCACATTGGAGTTGAAAATCCGCATCTTAGTTTTCATGCTGAGTGCTGAGTATTGATCTCCACATAGACTTGAGGGAAGTGAAAGCTTTCCTTGTTTTGTCGATCCTCGCTTTGATATCCTCTTCCATTCTGCCTGTAGTTGAAAAGGTGCTTCCGAGGTCAGCGGGTAAAGGAGGTGGCTCTTTCAGATTTCTCACATTTATGCTGATTGTTGTCTGTTGTATTTGCTGTTGGCCAGAAATCTTCATCACCTACCTCTGTTTCCTCTGTGTTCACGTGAAGTCCTTTCTTTGATGCTTCTTCTGCCATCTTTCACTTGCATATCTTCCAGTTTGTAGGAAATGAGATATATACCACTGGCGAAGTCCAGATCCTCCAAGTTTTTGTGTGGATCCATTTTGTGCCTGTCTCCTAGTTGCCCGCTGCTGTCTGTCGCATTATCCAGTCTACTGCCCACAATCAAGAAAATCATTGGCGATAGTAGGCAGCCAGCTTGTCTTACTACCGTCTTCACTTCTTCCAAGGATTCCGTGAGTTTCCCGTTGCGGATTACTTGGCATGCATCATTGTCGTGCAACTGTGGGATGAGATGTATAATTGTTGGCGGTAGAAATATATATATATATATTAAATGGTTGGAGACATTAAACAGGTATCCTTTGACCTAGGTCTCCTGCTTGTTGGCACACTTCAGCTAGGCATATATCTGCATCCTTGAAGGGACTGATATCGCCTATGAGATTCGAACCCGTGTTACCCAGTATTGCAGTCAAAGACAATACCATTAACCTATTCGTGTGGTCTATTGGCCTACTACATTGAACTGCATTGGGTAGTGAGCAATTACACATGAAGAAAAATGAGGATTTGTTGATTCTAAAGGGTCACAATCCAATAAATACATCAGATTGTAAAACTACAAACAATCAACACAGTTTTATTTTGCATATCAATTCATAACAGAAATTAACCTACAGTGCTATTGCTATTAGTATTCCCTTACGTTACAAAAGGAGAACGTAGTGATTCACTCTGTGCTCTGCAGTCTGTGTTTGATTCACTCCAAGACTTTTCTTGAGCTTTCATCTCCTTTTCAAATGATTTCTTCAATGTCACCATCGAACCAGCGGTTAATTCGATATCTCCAGTTGAATTTCCACTGGAGGGCGCGTGATGTCATTCAGTGGTCTCCTCCATATATATGTCCATTTGTTTTTGTAAATTTTTTGGGCGAGAGGTTCTTGACTGATTCGTTGCTAGAGTTAATTGTTGTCTATTCCTTCTGTCTGTCAATCTGATCTTCAGTGTGGAGCAAAGTTAGATGTTGCAGCACCGTTGTAGCACTGACTGAATTAATATTAGTGCTTCTCATTGTTCTAAGTAAGATTTGATCTTAGAGTATTGAATTCTTGTCTGGTTTTTCCAGACAATTTCGCTTTTTACATCCTCATGTGCGCTGCCTATAACTGAGAAGGTGCTGTGGAGGTGATTTAAAAGTGAAACGACAGAAGACAAGGGCCTGGGAACATATCGTTTATTGAGAAAATTAACAGATATTTATAGATTTTTATGTACATTTTTGTTAGCGGAGAAGCAGCCTCTTCTGATTGGTTATTTTATTGCTGAAGGTTATTCTGTACTGCTTGTGACTGACCGTTTCTTAGAAAGTTAAGCCATATATCTGCGAATCGTATTTGCACACACTAAGTCTGCTGTGATTGGTTAGTGAGTTCCTCAAGGTTAAGCTTTGTTATTTTTTTCCCATGACTCTGATTCGGGACGTAACATTGACGTAAACTGTTGTCTATAATTTTTTGGCTTGCAGCTAGCTCTCGAGATAAAAGAAGTGACCTCCATCAAATTCCTCCTGTTGATGGTGATTGGTGCTTGTTGTTGTTTGTTAGGCATCTTTATCACACTTCGATTGGACACTAGTAACTAGTGTGATATGTCTAGTCCTTTCTTTAGTGCCAACTGAATTCTATCAGTCAGGTTTGTGATGTGGCTACCATACTAGGTAGGTAGCTTGCCATCACGGTGCACATTGATTTGATGATACGAGATGGCTGGAGGCAATCGGCCACAGGAAGCCTTGGTTGACCTAGGTTTCGTGCTAGATGGCACTCATTAGTCAGTCAGCAAGGCGTATCTGCAATCACCTTGAAGGAGAAGCTCAAGTCCCTTCTGAGATTTGAACCCGCGTCACCAGCCACTGCTGTAGTCATCACATATTCATCACATCTGTCCCGTGTACGTCTACTTGAAGTGCTGTCTTAGCTACCTCTTTAACTAATTTGTTAGTTTCCGCCTGCAGATTTTTGAGTTTGTGTGTAAGATTAAACACAAATTATCTGTAAAGCTAATAGCCATAATAATCTCTGCTAAAGGATCCGTCTCAAACTAGAGTAAAACATACGTCTATGACAATAAATTGATTTTAACAATACCATCTACTTGCATTTAGTATTTTAAGTGTTATTATTATTATCCAATATCCAATAAAGTCCTACTGGAGGTCAATCGAGAGCATGAATAGCTCAGTGGTGACGTCTCTGGCTGCAGCACTGGGTGACACGGGTTCGAATCTCATAAGGGACATGAGCTGTTCCTTCAAGGTTGCAGATACTCCTTGCTGACTGACTGGTGACTTCCAACTAGCTCGAAACCTGGGTCAGGCAAGGCTTCCTGTGGCCGATTGCCTCCAGCCATCTAATACCAACAAATCACAGTACACTATGATGGCGAGCCACCTAGCATGGTGGTCACATTACAAGCTTGACTGATAGAATTCAGTCTGCACCGAAGATAGGACTAGACAAATAACACTGGTTACTGACTAGTGTCCAATCCAAAAATATTTGCAGTATTATTTTTCAATGTTTGTAAGGATTAAATTTGTTTTTACGAGTTGATCACGGATTGTTATCAGTTGAAGAACCATTGAAAACCACCATCAGAGAGTACTGGACAGCTGTTTCATCCTAGTTTGGTACTCATCGATAGTACACACCCACTGGGATTCGAACCCAGGACCTTCTGGTTACAAGGTTGGTGAGCTCGTGCACCATTCAGCCACTGGGACTCGATTCAGTGGCCAGTGCATGAATTCTAACTTCTACCAATTCGTGATATTTAGCATGACCATTAATGCATGTCATCGGTGGGACATCCACACTTACACTTGACTGGATGAACTTCACTGGTCACAACTTCTCACTAGAACTCTAGGAAACTCCGTCTGTCCTGTAGCAAGTCACAAGCGAGCACCACATTATTATTATTATTAATCACTATTTATTGCAACACAAAGCGTGGAACACTATAGGCACCAAGGGGTTTCCCATGCAAGCAATAACAAAACACAAAACACATGATAAAGAAGTAGAATGATTAAAGGACAGGATCAAGAGCACCTAAACAGTATTTATCAGCACATTTTACTTTCAGACGCGTAAAAGAGTAGGTAAACGAACCAATCGACCATTTGATTACAATTCTCTGTCATATTTTGATTTATGTCTTATGTCTTATTTCCCCTTTCTTATCTGTTAGCCAGGGAGGTGTAATTCACCAGCAAGTGTTAACCCTCCTCCCCACCACCCAATAAACAACGGTTCGTCATCTCATGACATTCTACAGATTTGAAATGGTATTCTCTTTAGCTATATGAATACATGGACTTGTCCCTTGGATGACTAAGTGATTGGTTTCAACATAGAAATCTGCACCGATGTGCAGCAGTCCAAGTTGCCGCACTTCACTTAGCATACAGAGAAAGAGAAGAGAGGAAAAGGAGACTCAAAACAGGGATAGATAATAAACAGAAATATGAGACAAAAAGAAAAGTAATACCAAATAACAATACAGTTTTATTGGATATTATAAGTCACCTGCGCCAGCCATCACTGAGAACGATTTTGAACCATATCACCGATAATTGTCTCCAGGCTTCATTCGTTTAAACCGTCCCGAGGACCACAGTCAGGGAGTCGACACCTCCGGCTAGCTTAATCTAACTGTTATGGATTTTATTGACTGATGAAGCTAAGTGCTGGCTCTTTTCCAACCTGATCCTCCTATGTCAGCTTAAATTGCCGTTTCGAGGCTCTTGAGTGATACCCAAATAG